AGCCCAACACGCGGCTTTGCATTTCATCAGCCCAACATGCGGCTCATTTCATTCAGCCCAACACGCGGCTTTGCATTTCATCAGCCCAACATGCGACTCATTTCATTTAGCCCAACACGTGGCTCATTTCATTCAGCCCAACATGCGGCTCATTTCATTTAGCCCAACACGCGGCTCATTTCATTCAGCCCAACATGCGGCTCATTTCATTTAGCCCAACACGCGGCTCATTTCATTCAGCCCAACACGCGGCTCATATCATTCAGCCCAACACGCGGCTTTGCATTTCATCAGCCCAACACGCAGCTCATATCATTCATCCCAACACGGGGCTTTGCATTTCATTAGCCCACCACGGGGCTTTGCATTTCATCAGCCCAACATGCGGCTCATTTCATTTAGCCCAACATGCGGCTCATTTCATTCAGCCCAACACGCGGCTCATATCATTCAGCCCAACACGCGGCTCATTTCATTCAGCCCAACACGCGGCTCATATCATTCAGCCCAACACGCAGCTTTGCATTTCATTAGCCCAACATGCAGCTCATTTCATTTAGCCCAACACGTGGCTCATATCATTCAGCCCAACATGCGGCTTTGCATTTCATTATGCCCAACATGCGGCATAGCATCTCATTCAGCCCAACATGCGGCTAGCATTTCATACTGCCCAACACACGGCTTTGCATCTCATTAGCCCAACACGCGGCTAGCATTTCATTTGCCCAACATGCGGCTTTTCATTTCATACTTGCTCAACAAGCGGCTCTTTTTCATTTTTATCTGCTTGACATCACATTTCTCTACATTTCATATTATCATTTCTTTCTTTTATTTCTAGTTGCCCAAAAATCAAGCTTACAGGTCAGATCTCTCCTTATTTTATCTTTCTCTCCATGGTTTAGTTAAAATCGGGTTATTCTTTTATCTTTACTTTTCTTTTCTAACGAAAAAAAAGTAAAGAGGGGGCAACTGTCATAACCCGATTTTTCATTCAGCTTATTTAAACTTTTCATATAAAATATATATGGTTTAAGTACCATTTTAGTCCCTCAACTTTACACTTTGGTACCAAAATTGTCCCTTACCTTTAAAAAGTACCAAAATTATCCTTGAACTTTCATTTTTGGTACCAAAATAGTC